ACAGATTAACAGCGATGGTGATGAGTGGAAAAAAACCACCTGGTCTCCTTACATTCACCTCCCTCAGCCACTCTTTCATCATCTCCTCAATGAGGTGGTCTCTTGCACTTAAGTCTAACCGATCGCCCAAATGTGCTGCTCATATTTTCGTTTTCATTTTTGTCAATATTCCTTTTTTTCCCAATTACAAAATATTACACCAGTCTCAATTTAAAAAAGAAAAGAACTATCTATTAACAAATAAAACAAAAACTAAAAAATTGGTAGCAATTTATGGAGCCAATTTGGTCAAAAACATTTTTTGAAAAAGGTTAATCGAAAATTGCAAAGTAAGATTTGAAACTAAAAAAGTTTTAAACAATTTTTTTAGGAGCAAGATTTCTTTTTTCTATTTGAAATGTTTTTGTTTCAATTTTCAGTCTTTTAGTTTAAATCTTTCCGGTCAAAAAAAAATGCTCTTCAGTTTTAACAATTTTTTTCTAAAAGGAAATGTTCCAATAATGTTTTAGTTTCTAATTATTTATTTTCAAATATATATATTTGAACAAACTCTATGGCTCCAATTTAGCTCCACAGAAAATGCAGGGGAGGAACATGCACTCCTTGTCAACATGTCTGCTGAATGCACCGATGAATTGGTGAGAAATGGCCAATAATGATAAAAACACACACAAAAAAGCTAAAATTAGCCTAAAATATCAGCCAGTCGATGTATTCAGTCTCTCTTCCAGTCAATCCTCCTGGTTTTCTATCACAGACTGTAACTATAATTCAAAAACACAAACATTTTGCTAAATTTTAATTTTAATTTTTAACATCTCATGCATTTTAACAGTGATAAACCTGGCCAGGATTGAATTCTTTTCACCTTAATTCTAAGATTTCATTATAGAAATAACTGTACAGGGAATACAATATTAGATCTGCACTTATGACTACACTCTTTACCCATCCTATTCCTTCTTATTATAACCTTATATTTTTATAGGTGTAATTTGGTTTCTATGAATATCTGAACAAGCCGCTGCCATAATCTTTAAAGTGCAGCAAAAAACAGCTTTTTCGTGAGTAATTTGAAATGTTAAACCTGATCAAATCAACTTCCTACCAGATTAAAATGCAAAAGGTTTGTCTCTTTTTTAAAAACACTTGTATGTACTTACTTAGAAAACCCTTTCCACTTGAGAAGGTACTCCACTCTGCCTTTTACCACCCGCCGATTCAGGACCTTTTCCACCACGTACTCCTCCTCCTCCTCTTCTTCCTCTGCCTCCTTTAACACTTCCTCTGCCGCCTTCTCCTTCTCATCCGTCGTTATTTTAGCCTCTGATAGATAACAAAAACAGTTGTGAGAAAATGCTGAGTCTTTTTTCGTCCAGCTCAGCACAACTAAAAGTTTTTAAATCAAGAATAGGAGACGGGTGGATGGTGAGGAGAACAAATCATTCATGTAGAAACCTTTACAGCAGTTCACAGGTCAACCACAGAAACGTATGTGAGGAAGTAATGATATCTGAAACCTTCTGTAACAGTGGCGCCATCGTTAGTGGGTTCTGTAGTCTGGCTCATGCTCATCGGGTAGACCCGGGGACCCACAGGTTCCTGGTCGAATCAAAGAGTGATGCATGATGGGATCAATACAGAGGAGAAACAAAATAAAGCATTCATGCAAACTTTGTTGAATTTTAGCATGGAAAGGTGTTCATTCTTCTTGCAGATTAAGATATCTGACATTTTTAATTGTTCTGCTGTTTGAGGCTTCATTATTTCATCCCACAAATAAATAAATCCAGCCTAACATATGATACAGTGCTCATCCTCAGAAATATATGATATGCAAGCGAGCCATTCGATAAAAAAGAGACAAACTGCTTCTTTATTGCTCCGTTGGCAGATTCCCTTCAGACAGAGGCTTTTCTTCCTTCCACATGTGTCATCTTACCTAATATGAAAAACTTCTACGTTACTAACACTAAAAGCATTTATTTTGTTGTCATTAAACACAAATTCTTTCTCTGTTTGTCACTGGAGGAAAAAATAGTGAAAAGAGGAAATATTATCAAAGAAACTCTAAACATTACTCTGATGATAAAAGGATCCCATTACCGGGTCATTTAGTTACTAATATGTCTCACATGGATCCAAAAGATACATTGTACAGATACAGAAAAATAGCTAACTTAAGTATTTACTATAGAGGGGAAATTCCAGTCTGACCGACTGTTTTCTGCAAGAATGATCCATTTATCAACTTTGTTACACAGAAAGTATCACCTGCAGGGTCAAACAAAATAAAATAAAAAATCTTATCTGGCTCGATAAGGCACATCCTTGGAGGGGAGTAAGACTCTCACAGGTTCAGAGAAAGACTATCTGCTTGGAGGACATTCTGTTCTCATGTTTATCAACTGTTTTGTCTGTTGTCCTGAAAATGTGAAACGTGCATAAAGAAGGCAGCCATCTTTCTCTAGTTAGAGCAAAGAAGGACAGGTCTGGTCACACATTTGGGAGTTTTGTTATTCTGTTCTCACTGCTGCAGAAATCAATAACTGTTGACTGAATGATAATCACAGATCTTTGTTTTTGTTTCACTTTGATAAAATTAGATTAAAGTGTCTAAAAAATGTTGTAGAAAGTCGCAGATTTTCTCTACTCCACCGCAACTAAAGGCTCCTCATAATAAGAAGAGTGACAAAAACAATGTTATTCTAAAGTATCTTTTTCTCCAGAACTGGGTAATATTTTTTGCCATCTTGATGTTAATCCTTTTTATTCGATTTGCTCTTCTATAAAAGTTAATTTATTAACTGATGTGAAGTGTACACAGCTTAATCTGATCAAGCTGATTATATCTGATGATCTGATCTGCCTGATTATACTCAATAGAGGGGTATTGGTGCTGATTTCATTCAGGATTGATATAAATATACGGGATTCAGAAACAATTCTGCCCACTATTGCCCTTCTAGTGAAATCATCTTTTTTTCCCCCCGATATAAGCCCCTTGCTAAAACTAAATGGAAACATGTGTTGATTAAGTATCTTTTAATGTATTTTCAAAGAGAAATGACAAGACAGACATCTTGTTTTCTTTGCCTCTTTGATGTGAACAATATTGGGCCCCTGCTAGAGACAGAAAAAATAGACTAGAAAAATAGTGAAGCCAAAAATGAGTCATGTTTGGTCCATTTCAGCTGTTACTTGTCAATAAAAGAGTAAAATTTGATATTTATACTTGAAACACAAGTCAGACGACACCAATTGTGATTTAATTCTGGCTCAGCCCCAGTGGAGATAAAAGGCTCTCCTGTAAAATGCTGAAGGATTGAGGGTGAACCGCGAGGAGGCGACCCGGCCAGAGGCTGGTGATGAAGGGATTCCTACTGTCGGCGCACCGC